CGATTTTGTAGTAGCAAAATAGCGACTGTATTTGGGACTGTATACTCGTGGTCGCAATAAAGCGACTATATTGTGACAAGATGAGTGTGGTCACAAATTAGCGACTATATTGTGACAATATCTATGTTGTCCCAAATTAGCGACTATTTGTGACTACGTAAGGTGGTGGGAAAATAGCGACTAAATAGCGACAAGTTGGGAAGTCGTTAACTTGTGTCTAATTTGTGACNAATAATGTAGTCGTAAATGAGCGACGTATTAGAGACTCTTCGAAATATCATGTCTAGTCACAAAATAGTCACTAAAGTGTCACTTGGTAGACACTAATTTGCGACTCCTTTGATTTTTTTTGCTCTCTGTATAGGCAAATTCAGTTGCTAATTTGGTCATTTTTTGTCACTTAAAACACACATATTTGTGTTTTGATTTGAAAAACCTAAATCAAAAGAAGAACTTAAAATCTTAAAACTACAAAAGATTAGCATAATAACATAAGTTTGAAAGCATAACAACATAAGTTTTTTAAAAAGACTAGAGAAGAAGTTATTAAGTNAGGAGAGTACAAAAGATTATAACATAATAAGTTTTTTAATAAGACAGAGTTAAAAAGTTTGAGAAGCAAACTTTCAAGTGTTGTCTTCAGCTTGAGGAGCTTGAGGTGTGGCTGTGGCAGAAGCATCCAAGGTAGAGGAGTCAGACATGTAAGCAGCGAGGTTGGGATTGTTGTTCTTCATAAACAGAAACAGCTTCTCCAATTCAGTAATCCGAGCCTGACTTTGCCNTAGCTCCTCATCACGTCGCTGATTTTCCTCGTCACGACGTCGATTCTCCTCATCACGACGCTGATTTTCTGCTTCGTTTTGAGCAATCTTTTGACGAGCTGATTTAAGCTCGTCCTAGATCTCTAACAGCGATGACGTAAAAGATTCAGCATAGCTTATCTTCCTCTTTCCTTTCTGAACCTGTGACANTTGGCCCATTNCATAAGGAGTCCCNTTGGAANCNAATTCAGTACACTGCAACAGTCATATAAAATACATAGTTACAAGCTGAAATCCAAG